GTTCACGACGATGGTCGAGCATCTCACCCCATGGATGTCTATCTTCTCTTTTGAATTTGAACTATCTAAAACGAGCAAGAGCATCCGCGACCGGCCCCCGTCGGTAGGATGCCTTGTCTTTTTGGCAACTGTGTTCAGCCCTTTTTGCCCATCCACCACCACGTTGCTTATTCATATTTCATCCGTACGTTGTCCAGTCTTGAATGTAAAGTCTGCGATACGGATGGATAGCTTTCAAACAACGGAGGCTGGGTCGCATGCTGGCCTCTGTATGTGTGACACGCTTGACGCGCTTGATGTTTGTTTGTCCCGGGTAGACGGCATATCCGAGCTGGCTAGTTCGTCAGGCAGTCGGAGCTGACTGCCGATCCGTCTCCAATTCTGTTAAATATTTCCCTTGTCGAACTATGTTCCGTACAGCAGGAGGCAAGCCACGAAGGACGTTGCGGCCCGGGGTTACAGTGACAAACATGGGACTTGACCCTTCGTGGTATTCCTTCGGTGCAAGATAATGTTCCCGTGACGGCCTCGCCGCCGAAGATGCACCCGCAGGAGTTCCCACGACGCTGAAGGTTCGCGGCCGCACGAGCACATTGTAATCGTCCAATATGACTTCCGCAACTCGACTGGCCAACGTATGACGATCCGGCCAGCTGAATGATCCTGTGCCTGGAGCTAACAACGAGCTCAACGCATCACTCAATACATTAAGATCTACCGGCCAACCAACGCCAGAAACGATACCTAGACCCCCCCTGGTTTGTGTGTCTCGTACATGGTCATCTTGTTCGTTGTTCGTTTCTTCGATCTTCTTGCGCACAAATTTAGGCAATCGTCTTGATTCCTCGTTAGGTTGGAAATTATGCTCCGGATGGAGATAATGCTCCGGATGGAGATAATGCTCCGGATTGTCACCTTCCTCCACGGAATGCTTCGACTCCATCGAGTGTTGTTCAGACTGAGATTGGTGCGGAGGAGGACGGCCATCATCAGGGAAGTCCCTCGACTGATGTGGTTTGCTAGTAGGATCCGGCGTGTTCAGAGGATCGGGGTTCAGAGGATCGGGGTTCAGAGGATAGAAGGATGTGGATTGGTACCGTGGTGACCCATAGGGAGAGGGAGCTATCAAACTGGGTAGTTGTCTCTGCAGACTTCGGTATTCGGCTTCTCCACACATGGCGTGGCAGAGACCCAGGACAGCGCCACAGGTTCTAATCTTCAAGGTGGGACGTAGTAAGGTTCCCACTTTCGAGAATAGCGTGTCTGCTGACGCTAAGCAACTTGCGTGAATGCTCATGCATTCATTAAGACAAACGGCTAGCAACTTAGCATTAATGCGAATGCACACTAACAGGAAGACAATAAACATATATATCTCTGAAGCCGGGTTACTCTGAAGCCGGGTTGCTCTTATTCCGGACTGCTCTTATTCCGGACTGCTCTTATTTATCCAATCGATCCTGATATATCTCGTGCGTGCAAGTAGTGCCAGCAAGTAATGGTCGCAAATGAAATCGTTGAATGAACACACGTGCTCACCGAACCTGTATCGCAGATTCTAGGCTGATTCTGTTCCCGGCTAATTCGACCGACTCTGAAGACCGTGAGTCTGGCTAGTATGGTGCGGATTGTTTGGCAAAAATGCACAGACCCGATTTTTAGGTCGTAAAAAAAGAAGATTTTGTGGAAGAAGATTTTGTGGAAGAAGATTTTGGGGAAGAAGATTTTGTGGAAGAAGATTTTGGCATATTTTGAGTGGCCAAGAGATCTGGAAGGTGGGTTGAAGGGTGATTGGTGTATAAAAAATTAGCCGTAGATTCTTTGGGGCTTGCCCATGGTGGACTTGATGGTAATGGATCGAATGTTATTCCAGTTCTTCTTGAGAAGAGAGACGAGGAAGTTAATAGCCATAGATACATTCTCCCTGATTTGTTGTTTTGTCATGTTGACGTTGCCAATGGCAACTCCCAAACATAAGACCTGCTTGAGCTGGAACTTGACTGAAGACATGACCTCTGCGACCTTGTCGACAAGACGGTCATTATGGGTGAGTATGGTCGGGAACTTGCCCGCCTTGTTCAGTCCAGGTCCGAATAGCTTCGGAATTTGGGGGATGAGTACGTTGGATGCGATGAAGGCGTCGTACTTCCGGGCAAGCTTCTTGACGAGCTTCGCCTTCTTGTCGAGCGCCTTCATCTGGTCCACGTCCATCGACGGTATTCCAGCGGCCTTCGCCTCCTCACAGTGCAATTGGTCTCCCAACACACAAACCGAGCGGTTGGGGGAGATGACGTGAGGAAGCCTCACCGTGCCAGCGAAACGCTTGTCACGCTGAGTGTCGTAGTCCTTGATGCCCACTTGCAACTCAATCGTTTCCAGGAATTTACGTTCCTTCTTCTCGTCCACGATCGAGGCAATTGCCTTCTCCAGCAGCTGAGCAGGGATCTTAGACATGTTTGGTACTCTGTTGACAGGGGTCTCAAAAACCGCCCGAAAAAAAAAGTGCCCCGCCCCACTACCCGTTTTGCCTTATGATAGCCACGCCAGCCTTCCCCGTGGCTCAGCTCGTCCTCCAAACACTTCAAGCGTACAACCACACACACCCACTCCTACACACACCGACTCCTAAGACTACCTCCACCAGTCCACTCTAGATGCGCTCTAAGCTTATTGTCCTAGACGCTTGCCACCTCAGGTGTCCTTCGGCCGATTCCATCCCGGCACGTACAGGACATCTTTCTGTACCTTGGTGAACCCTCCCTTGGCGATTGCAAGATCTCAGGCTAATGAACTCACCGGTGCTATAGTCTTGGTTATCAGCAGTTCTATTGACACCTGTACGGACCTGGACAACTTAGGTAGTAACCCTTTACGTGTCATTCCTGATTTTACACCGTCCGTCACTTTACTATACACCGTCCGTCACTTTACTTTACACCGTCCGTCACTTTACTATACACCGTCCG